GATTTATTTTGATTTAGTAATTGTAGAATTAATTAATAATAATCCAGCATATGGACAAGGTTTGTAGCATCTTAAAAGAATATTACACTTTTGTATAGTGTTACAGGTGGAAAATAATCAGAGAGTGAATGTCAACGTTGATGTTAATCCTGCCTATGAGACAATTGCAAGGCAAAACAGACATGATACAAACATCACAGATTATGAAACTGTTTGGTGATTTAAAAGTTAAAACAAATAATTTTAGCAATCACATGCAGAAGCCTTAATAATCAGCCAGATTCAGCCTAGCTTACCATTATAGAGCAAAGTAAAATCATTATGTTATTGAAATCATAGACATTAATTGCTGTGCATGCCACACCCATTAGATCTATCATGTGACATGCAATCACAGCAGCCAGCCAGTTGACATGACAGAGGCATAGAACTAGAAATGATCATAGATACCGAGTCGAGTATAGATGGTGACCGTAACGGTACAAAGCATCGGTCATTCGGTATAATGGATCATCACGTGACTGACTAGTAGAACCGGCCACGGCCAGGACTGGACACAATCATAATCGCCATTAATCGGCAAAGATACATATCCCCAGAGTGCCCAGATACAGGCGAATTTCTTACACAGAAGTAGGCTGCTTGGGCACAGCCTAGCCACCATCTAAGTTGCCGCTTACCATGGCGCCACCTTGCTCCATCATTGTTCTACTTGTCTTCGTCCCTGCTTTCTGCTCGCAAAGTGCTAGTAAGTATCTAATACGTGTCATGGGGAATGTGTGTCTGATTCTAGTCTATGTGATTATTCTTTATTGTATTGAATATTCCACATACATGTAGTATATACAATTTTCAACAAGAAAGTAATATTAAACCATACCTAGATACCGTATAGTGGGTTTTTTTGAGGATAATAAATTTCGCGAATGACCCATATCCGGAAGTTTGCGGAATTAATTTTCACGAATTTTCACTAATCTGCCATCTTGTACCGTATTAAATTGATTTTCAAGGAATTTAATTTCGCGAATCATGAAAAATCTGTGAAATTCGCAAAATTTGTTATCCTCGAAAAAACCCACTATACGGTATACTGTGCATATAATAATTAGAGGAGAGTGTCCTACTGTGCATATACCCCCTGCTTCATCACAGCATAGAATTGAAGAGTCACATTCAGGATATTTTCATATTTTTTTAGTAGTTATTTGAAAATAACTAGCAATAACTATTAGCTACTCAAATAAAATATGGAAATAACCGGAATGTGACTACGCGGTGATGAAGCAGACCTTATAGCCAGTAGGACACTCTCCTCTAATTATTATCTACTCTTGATGTAGTATACCTATTTTCTGAATTATGCTCCTGTTGGGTCGTTAATATGGTACAGTCTGTTAGATACTAATAAAAAAAATGTATATACTGTTTATGATTTTAAATGCATTATGCAAGTACTGCCCTTTTAATGTTACTTGGGTTCATGGTGGAGCTGATGGCCTGGCAGTAGGGACACGCACATTATTCGGGAATTTCTTTTGGAATAATGGG